GTCAAAGTCAATCTTGAAAGTGCTATCAATAAAAAAGTGGATTATTTCGTCACTAAACCTATTTTCCTTATTCTAGGTTTTGGATTAAAGGAGTTACGATTTCTCTGAATACGTTGCTACCTTAGCGTACCATACTATATTCTTACTTAATTATTATTACTAATATCGTTTTCGAATAGCGCGACAAAAATACGAAACGAAAGTATCTCAATTAAATTAGCTTGGAATCTTTTTTTCGTAAATCCACTGAATCTGCACTGGTACATACAATCAAGAAAAAGTATAGACATAGCAAGGGTTTTCTTGGATTAGTCTTGATAAAAAATGTGGCCATATTATTCTTTATTTTATCCATGTCTTCTATCTGTATCAAGGCATTTAGTTGATAAGTAATTAGTTGTAGTTACGACGCTCTCATGAAAGAACTGTGTTAAATGACCCTCGCCATCTATCATACCGACTATGATGCAGTTGGAAAATAGTTTGTTAGTCATTTAATGCTGGAAATCACACTTTGGTAGCTAAAAGTCTGATATTAAATCTACTCTGGAGAATCTGGGATCTCACTCTTATGTGGAATTCGATTCAAAGCCCGATCATCAAGGCGAAGTTTTGATGACACTTATAGCCTAAGCTTGCCGTTACTGGCAGGTTATGAAGATGTTTTATGCTACAAAGGTTCAAAATTAATCTCTTTATCGATATACAGTGAATAAATTAAACTTTTGTACTTTTACACAGGGCCATGGCCTCTTGGCATTTACAAGAAGATTCTCAAAATATTCTTGAAATATACGATGCATTCACTTCATTTCTTTCAAGGTGATGAAGGACTGGCGATTTTAATTTTCCCACAAGGATATGAGTAGAGCTGACGTTTCCAGTGAATTTCATATGGCTTTGCTTTCCCCAAAGGTGTTCTCATATAGGGAGGACTGCATATGATGGATTTACTTTTAGCATCAAGAACCTACTTATAAACAGAAAATAAGTAATATGGTTAATTGTGATAGCAAATATAACTTTGCTTCATTGACAATCCCACCAAAGAATGTGATATGAGAAAATGCCTGACCTTCCTTGAAATTACCTGCCCGCTGACCCAATGACACTCGTGGAAATACGGAAACGAGATTATAAGCTGTATTGGCATGGTTGGATTTCTGCTGGGGGTGCTGCTTCATCCTGGGAAATGTCTCTTTGGAGAAGGAAAAGTAAGGGAAACTTTTTGGGAAAGCAAGGCTAAGTGAAAGTCAACGGAAACGTCAGCTCTACTCATATCATAATGGAAAAATTCAATTACCAGTCCTTCATTACTTTAAACTAAATACGACGAATAGATCTCATGTAACTGATTTACTGGTCTCGAAACCCTACTTATAAGCGAAAAATATTCTTGATAGGTTGACGAATGAAAGTATCAAACCCATTAAATCATATATATGACGTGCTTTAGTTATTTTGGGCCGTATTCAGGCTGTATTAAAGAAGATACGGCAAGGAAGAGCATACTTTCTTTAACGGTCGCCGGCAAGAAGTAAAAATGCTAGCATTCCTGATGTTTATGACAGAATAACTCAGAAAGATTTGTCTCAGAAGTACTTGTATTGACCAGAGAAGAGTTAACAGGGAAGTTATTACAAAAAATAATAAGTAGTAACAACGTGTCATTGCTTGAACTAGCAAAATTGAGAAAGGCCGGACTCCTGCTTTTTTAAAGAATCTTTTAACCATCCTCTCTTGTACACATATAAATATAAACTGTAATGAATGCTATTTGAGATTAAAGTAGTTAAAATGAAATTTCTGCCAAGACCTAACCGAAACCATGCCTCTGTACGTGTATGCATACTGTGAAATTATGCGTGAGTGTTTGTTTGTTTGCTGGTGAGTATGTATATGTGTGTGTGTAAGTGGGTGTGTTTATTTGCGTGCGTGCGTGCGTGTGTGTGTGTGTGTGGGCCAAGACAGTTAACTTGTTTAGTAAGTGGAATCATTGTCTTGCAGCCAGTCAGGCAAATCGTCTCGTTTGTAGTAGGACAAGCTGGCCCGTTTCGTCCAGGCATTGTTCCTAGGGAACATGATCTGCCGCCTCTTCGAGTCATCTTTATCGGGAAACACAGATAGTCGCTTGCTCCAGACCCTTGTCTCCGGCTCGTACTTCCGTTTGTAGTAGGAGAGACTGGCCCTCTTTTCGGCGAGGTCTGTATCCTCCGACTATGGAAATAAGGGTAAGAGAAGAGAAAGACATGTCTTGAAAGGAGTGATAAAATTACTTGTCTCCCTCTGAAATCAGTTGAGCATAAGGATCAGGAAATCGTTTCTTCATCAAAGTTGAGCCTTTAGGGCACACTGTAGCACTGATACATGGTGGATGCTTTCAATGCCAGAGCTTATGCTTTTGGGTCAAAGAGCCAGCAGTCATTCCACCAATCTTCTTATCTTTACGAAAGCGGAAGAGATAAGCTGTGGAGAAAAACAAGGGTCGGACCCGAGAAGAAGATTTATTGTTTGCCCGCAGGCGGTAAGTCCGTCAAACAGGAAGTATTCCACTCGCTTTTACCTGAATCCGTAGCCTCAAAGTGTAATTGCCTTATGCCACATATCCATCCTGGAAAATTCTCGTTGGGAATAGACAATTCGTTAAAATACTAATAGACTAGTTACAAGAAACAGGGTGCTTTTATGAGATGACATTTTGTTCAAATATTCCCACTTGTTAAAACAAAGTTTCAAGCAGGGCAAGTTATAAAACAAAGTTTGGCTATATGACAAGCATTGAAAGTTATTTATCTTATCTTGAAGCAAAAATCTGTATTAAGTAAAGTCAAAAGAAATAGTTGATTTTTATAGAAGCTGATTTTTACTTAATTTTAAGATCATTTTCAATAAGCTTTAAAGATCAGGACGAAACAATTAGTCATGCAGCTCTCTCAACAGTTGAAGTTAAAATATATCTATAGCTTGTAGGGCAGAAACAGATTCTTTAAGGTCAGGCAAAAATAATTGAAGTCTCTAAGACCAAAGTTTTTGAAACTAGTATCCACTAAAGTGCATTTACTGCAGATCAAGTATTCTCGCATCCTTCGGTGGGTGATAGTTGGGCTATCAGAAACAAAGCAGATCTTGGCCAAGGTACCATTCGCAGTAAAATCAGACTCCGTAACTGGACCTTGCATGCAAAGAATAAATTGCAGTGTTCTCGCAGCCTAACGGCCTTAACGCTGTCCGATCTTGAGGTATTTTTGAAAAAGATGCAGAAATCAAAATTAAAGGGGCCAGATATTCTCTCTAACCAAGTAACTTTATTAATAATTCGTTTAACCTAAGTTATAGCATGAAAATAATGTATTTGATATATGAAACGATATATTAAGCAAATAGACGCCATATATTTTGATTTTACTGACGCAAGGCCATTGAAATAAAATTAATCTAGTCTGATCTACTTTTGCGACGTCATCCTCTCTCTCAACTAATTATTTAGTGGAATAGAGCTCGTGATGAATCTTCTTGAATTGAAATAAGGATCTGATTTTTAAAATCTATTTTCACTTTCTTGGTGATTCTTACGTCAAAAACTGTCATTGATGCAAACTTCCGCTCCTTCTAGTCTCAATCCTTATGCTTCCCTTCTCTAAAATATATCTTCCTTCTCTATTCATCTCTCGTCTTTTGTATATCTCTCTCTAAATAAGAGAAAAAAGGATTATGAAGTATGCTTACAATAATTTATTTTTTATCCGAACCATATCAAGCCAAATTAATTTAACAAAATAAACCATTTTACTTACAGCATGGGCACTGAGAAGGATGAGAAGTAGGCAGGCTATTGTCAATAAAAGGACTCGCATGATGATGTTCCGTCTAGAAATGTCCACCAGTAATTAAATAAAAAGAGCGAAAAATTCAAATGATTTTGACTCAAAAAAATATGTTTTGACTTTTTCATAAATGAATTATCAATCTTCCTTACCCACCATTACAAGCTCAAATTTACCCATATTTACCGGTGCCAAAATTGTGATAAATAGCTTATTTCTCAATATCTTATCAATTTACATATTTGGAATTAGGAAATCATGTCTCTCTTTTGAGCATTTTTGCCTGAATATTTGTTTTAAATATAATTTTCCAGAAGTATTAACTTGCTTGCTAAGCCAATTGCAAATTATATTTATGCCTAATTTTAGCTTGGATGATTAAATAGGTCTAATTTAAGGCTGTCTTATTCTAAGCTAAAGATGCAGGTTTAAACATCTCCACCGCAGAAGCCAACCAGGGAGAAGAGTTATTATGATATTAAGAAATGATCTTCTGACCCGCAGCTTCATTGCTGCGCAAATGTAATGAGTAAACTTATTCTTCTTTATTTTACGGGCCAAGAGGTTGTCATCTTCTGGCGGTAAATACGCATCATTAAACCTAAAAAACTGACAATTCTCATACCTATTTCCATCAAACTTATTTATTATATTTGGCCTCATTATGCGAGCAAATGTAAGCAAAATTACAAGAAGCCGCATCTGTGAGAAAGTGGGTTTACACACATTTTAAAGTGACAAAACTAGGCATATTGGCGAGCGGTTGCCGGTAGTATTTCAGTCGGGCAGAATAGGATGAAGAAGAGTTTGCTAAAGCCACACTTGGCACTTGAGGCCCAGCCCGCGAAGGCTCCGCGAAACCATCACTAAAAATAGTCATCTCCGTATTTGTACGACACAGTTGACCATCTCATTCTGAGTTACTTTCAGGCTTACGAAACCTGGGAAATGCACTTTCTCTGGTCGTTACGCCTCTATGAAGATGATATGACGTTAGGCTCATTTGTAATTACTCTAATGCAGTGGTTCTCAAACTTTTCCCAGTTGCGGCGCTCTTTTTGAATTAAAATTTTTCCATGGCGCCTACCCTCAATACGACTATTCGAAAGTAAGAGATAAAAATAAATAAAACTCGTGTATCTTCAATATTTTTCAATACTTTATTAACATTACATTAATATTTAATAGTTTATGTGATGGATGAACCTGTAAATCACTGCACATTTTCTCAAATTAAAGCTTTTACAATATTTCGCGGCGCTTTTGAAAAGAGTCCGCGGCTCTCCGGGGCGCACAGTTTGGGAATCACGGCTCTAAGGCACAGCCGGTATTGCCTACTCTGGCTTACACAGGTGCAGATTTTAACACACACATACACATAAACGCATACTAAAATATAAATATTCCGATTAGTAAGAATGAGAACTATCACAATTATTCTATCTCTGTCTATTTTTGCTCTCAGTTATGATTATATACGGAATTTAGGATAAAGCTGGATAATCTTTTTGAGTTAGTGTGAACTTTAGGCTTTTGCAAGAATGGGTTCCAGCTCTGACGACATAAATGACGAAGGCTCAGCTCGTTTTCACCCGAAACTAGGGGGATGTCTCGTGTACTATATCAACCGGAACGACGTATTAACGTTAAGCGGCTAGATTACAACAGGAACCAGCTGTCGTCTTCTGGTGTGATTAACCTACGAATCTTTTCAGCATGCACTTAATTCGAAGTGAAAGTCTCTACAGCGAGGTTATCTGAAGAGATTTATCGAAACCCAGCTACTCAATTTATACGCCTGCTGTGCGAAAGTGTGAATTCCTCGACACAGCTGCCCGGCACAAAAGTTCCGAGTTCAAGTCTGCCGGGTCACTGCTAAGCACTCCGTCGGCGCATGGGTCCAGTCAACCAGTTTTAGATGACAATTTCGCAATGCCTATATTGAGAGATTTTAAGTGACCCGCTTTCCGGTTCATGAAGTCCTTACTTTACAGAATATCACACCCCAAGAAGCCGCATTATCGAACCTGACCAAATTAATACACATAAGCAATTAGGAACCTTACAATATTTGCTTTATGACAGGCGAGTGAATACAAAATCAGGTCATCTTGCAGAGTAAAATAAAACGCTTGAAATATTACTTTCATTCTTGATGAATTTCTGTGAAGAATTATGTGATCTCGTCTAAAAATTGGTAATTGAGTAAAATTTGTGTTTGTTTTTATGAATGATGGGCTAATCACAGTTCGTGGTGGTGGATTCAAACCTTTTGACCCAACTGAATATATCCTTTTGAGAGCCACCTTTTGGGCTTACTGACACTTTTGATCTGCTTGAGAGGCTTCATTTTTGCTTGCTTTCTGCCTCATTAAGTACTGTCGCTGTGTATTAAGTTTGTTTTCATGCTCTTGCAAATAGGTCAGACGCAGTAAAGTGTGAGTGCGAGCAAATAAATTCTCCCATCACTGACCTCAAATTGATTGTAATTACGCCAGTTTACCTTTACGTGACTCAAAACTGGTCCTCTCTAGTGACTTTTAATGTTAGTCGAATTAAATTAAATGATTTAAGACTATGGAAAATCTATTTAATAGTTTTAGTATGGAATAACTTAGTTGGGCTCTTTATTTTCGAAAAAAATAGATTTTGGCCTCACCGGAAGCAGAAGGATGGTAGCCTAGAATTCGTGAATGTTGGATTGTTCTAAGAAGTCCTCGGCGCAAAGTGCGATGGATCGTCAGAGCCAGAAGTTATGATTAACGAAGGAATCACCAATACACGAAACTAAGAGAGGCGGCCGTAAACAATTACAGTCACTTTTCATACCTGATTTTGTCGAGTCATCTCATGATTCGTTTGGACTCGTACGTAGCACAGACGACTTCCTTGTCCAATTCAACAGTCACAACAGCCAGGAAATCATAGCTATTTTTCTGATGAGGCCAATCAAAAAATCTATTGTGACTAACTTTTCCTTTATAATAAGTAGTTCTCTGATATAAAATTATTGAGGGATTCTTTGAAAACCGGCTTTTCGACATTTATAATGAAAGCACATTTCTCAGCCCCACTTGGGTGAGTTTTGAGAGAAAAATCTGCCTGTCTCATCTTTGGCGGGGATTTTTGTAATGAAAATGGAGGATTACAATTTTGTATATTCCGTTGGTCGAAGAGTGTAATGTAGAGACAGAAAACAAAGATTAGCATTTGCGAGTGGAATTGTTTATGCCTCACTAATTCAGAATGCGTTTTTTGCATATTTCAATAAGAGTGGCTAATTGCTCATCTACAGAGATCATTTGTGCGTGGTGTTTACATCTACTTCCATCAGAATTCCAGTGATAATGACTCATAATTGTTGTGCTTACTTCCATTTCAAGTGAAAGTGTTTGGTAAAGAGATTTGAAGGTGTATTCCGCCAGAAGACGACGGCGGATTCCTCTTGACCAGCTGTCGATTGGCTTTACT